ACGTAAACCAACCCATGAAATAAATGGGTTGACGGGTCAGAAATCACAATCCAAACCCGTTTATTTCCGTGTCGGGTTATAGGTTGGGTCAAGAATTATCATCCATATTCTTAGAGGGTATACTTCTCTCACTTTTACTTTGTGAATCAATGTCACGTCATTTCCTCTTCACTTTCTTTTCACTTAGAAAATAGTCACCTCTCACTTTTTTTATAAATAAAATTATAAATATATAAAATTAAAATTTAATTCTAAAATCATATTATATAATATGATACATGCATACATTATGTATTGTAATCTTCTGGGATCACATGAACGTGTCTAGAGTTTGAGTATATGTCAACGTCTCTTTAGGATATCAAATGCTCTTTCCACGTCCTTCCTAGTTGCTTCCTGGATAGTCTTAAATTTTAATTGTTTATCGTCGTTTGGACATGTTAACGATATGACAAATATAGCTAACTAAGGATATATCTCATTAGTAAGATAGTATTGATGCTTATATGATACTCCATTATCTTGAAACGACACATCATACGTCTTTCCAAGATAGATGTTGTGGAATATCGGCGACTAGTCAAGAACACTGATGTCGTTGGCATCTGCAACACCAAAGAATGCATGTCATATCCAAAACTCATAGGGCAAATATGCTTCTAGAATTATTGTCGGCTCGTTATGATCATCTCGAATTTATTGATTGTGCCATGAATTATAGCACATTACCCTCGCTCAATGCATACATCAATGTTACTTAGCATTTCAGGGAACATGTTTTCATGTGGTGTGTACAATTGGTGGATGTCATTAATAATAGCTTTGGGCAAAATGTTTCGCGTAAACCAAAATCACAACTTTAACAAACTTGTAAATATTGTCACATGTGGTCTACCCAGACATCATCAAATGCTCATCTCATGATTCTGCTCTCATGTTGTATGTTAATTGACGAATTACAGTTGTGCATTTTTGTATCGAATAAAAACTTCCTACCACTCGCATCCAATTTCAATAGAAAGTATGTAACCAACCTTTCAAGTCATAAACTATACGTAGGAATAACTCTTTCTACATACAGAAGCGACGTACAAACTTTACAAGCATACATGACATTATCGATAAAGTAGTCTTCTTTGAGACTATTGTGCCCGACATCACGAGTTGTCCATAAAGGACTTTTTCTCGTTCCTAAACCTTGAACTTTCAGCTTCTTGTTCTCAATAAATTGCGATTGTTTTTTCTACAATTTTTCCGATAAAAATTGAATCATGTAATGTCAATGAATCTGACGAAAAAGAAGATGGTCGATGATGTATTGTGACATTGTGAAATTGTTAAAACAAATATATATATATATATGATTTATTGATCTCTAATGTCTACAAATAAATATGGTGGGGTGCGGTGTAGGGATGAGCATATGACCCGTTGGACCGGACCCGGACCGGACCGGATATACATATTAATGGGCCGGTTTTCGGGTTTTGTTTTTACCACTAATCGGGTTTCGGGTTTGGACCGGACCGTACCCGGAATACGGGATTTAACCCGGACCGGACCGGAAATTTTTTTCTCCTTAAAATATATAGATAAGGATATTGAATTATTAGTTAATGTTATATATAACATTATGTATAAAACTTGATGTTTTTATTGTAACATTATTTATAAATCTTGATCAACGTTTGTTCCTATCACTTTACAAGAAAGAATGTATCTAGCATGCTATTTTTTGTTCAAACATGCAAAAAAAATTTATAAAAACATGCAAATTTTTTTATAAAAACATGCCCTTTTTTATAAATAATGCTGTTTTTTGTTGTTTTTTACACAAAAAAACTGTTAAAATACAGTTTTTTATTAACAATGTTGTTTCTTTTTTGTTAAAACATGCATTTTTTTATTAAAAAATGTAGTTTTTATGCTAAATAGTGTAATTTTTATTTGTTCCAAATGTTAATAAGGTTTGTATTTTTTTTGTAGACATCTCATTTGCACGTGATCTAAGTAAAGTCCCGCATTGTACCAATTTCAAAGCCTAGTTCGATCCAAAACCCGAAAGCCGGTTTAGTACCCGAGACCGGACCGGACCGGACCGAACCCGAACCCGATACATCCAAAAACGGTCCGGTTTTCGGGTAAGAAAATTCATGATTTTCGGTCTTCGGGTTTTCGGTCTTCGGGCCGGTCTGGTCCGGGTTTGGCCCGTTGCTCATCCCTAGTGCGGTGAGTTCTTCTACAGCAGCAACCTCTATCGCACTAAACACACCACATGGTGCGGTGTTACTGCACTCATGCGGTGTCATGTGGCATTAACCGTACTATGCGGCATGACCACACCTCCCGGCCATATGCACTACGATGCTACTTTTTCCTGTTAAATGGTTTTTGAAGATTCCAAAACTCAGACAAAAATAAAATTTTGTAGGAAATAACAAATTAAAATTTTCATGTAACATGAACAATATCGCAATATATGAAAGAAAATTCCGCAATACTCAAGTAAATAATAGTTTTTTAATTTATTTTTCTGTAAATTAAACAAAAAACAAATTTTGAAGCAGATAGTGCACTTGATCGAGAGAAATCAATTGTTATTGAAGTCAAATGTCATTTTTTTTAACAAATAATGCCATAATGGCTAAACTTGTCTTTTTCTATAATCACTTTGTAAAAGTGCATCCAAACACCCTTCGAGCGATTTTGTATATACTTGATAACTTGACGGCCTTTAAAATTCAATGCATGATCCTGATCATGATCGAAAAATCCTACCTCCGTAAAACGATCAAGATCGTATTAGGATATAATGTGGCATAAGATCGTATTTGAGATCATCAAATCGAAAAAAAGATCATAAGATCGGGATCAGGTATGATCTTACCATTACATCAAAATTTGAATTTAATTATTACCTAATAGGCTCGTACTCATTTACCCTCTATTTTTTTCACTTTTTTGACTATAAATTACTAAAGATGTAAGGTAAAAACTGTAGAAATTGAAGCTATTTAACAAGAAAAGGTTAGGTCATGCTCTATTATATGCTCAAACAAGTTTACTTACGTGTTGTTTTGTACATTTTTCTTTTCATTTCTTGATCTTGATTTTGATATAAAACTTCATAATTTTTTATCTTCACTTTGATATAAAACCCAACAGCTTTTGTACATTTTCATTTTCTAATTTATGTGTACATCTCCAAGTTTTGATTCCTATCTACTACTATGGCTTCCACATGGTACATAAATTACCATGATAGACATATTGGACTATTGGTTGGTACATCTTGCTGCAAAATATCATCATTTGTTATGTTAGAATAGATCAGATAGTATTTGTTATCACTATTGTTTGAATTTTCTTTTATAACTTATAAATAACCAACTAATTGATGTTCATGCTTTAAAATTATAAATATGATATTTTTATAAGATCTTTGGATCTTAATCCAATCTTACAATCACGATCTTACAAAGCAAAAAACAATCATACATCGGATCCCGATCTTGACATTCATGGTCCCATGGTTATAGATTCTATTCAAAAAAAAAAAAAAAAATGAAGAAATGACAGGTTTCGTTCAAGACTTTTGTGGTTTTACACGGTTTTGAAATTTTAAAACCTAACAAGAGAGATCTGATTTGTCAAGAAGCGGACTAAACCATTGAATACACATGATGTCTTTGTTGAACATTTTGGGCAAAAAAAGACATAATCAGAATGACTCACATGAGAATAGTCATCATGCCCAAACGCTGGTGACATAGATGAAGCCAAAACCAGTAGGACCAATTCAATAATTGGGTTTACATCTTACCCAAAGAGCCTACACTTTCAATCTTTTGTCCAAGATTTACAGAACCCACAACTTTTATGAAACTTTTACATCACCAAGAATGTTCAGAATTGTTCTATATAATTTTCACGTATGTAAAAAAGAGTGATGTGCACATCAAACACAATCCATTACACGCTTAAACACCGTATAAGTTGTTACGTCATGTCTTGCCATATGTAACAAACGAAGGGAGTAATAATTTTCGTTTTCACATTGTTCCGTATTATTTAATGTCTTTTTCTAATTTTGATGTTGACAGATTATATTCTTTCTCTGAGCTGCATATTCATCATTACATCAATACAAATAATTTGGTCAATGAGATAAGGTTACATAATCATCATTACAATAGTACAACTCATCAATTCAATTACCCAAGATCTAATTCTGTCATTATAGCAGAACCTTGAGTCTTTGATAAAACACCTTTATAAGGCCCATAAAAGTAATTTCTGATAATAACCGATGGTCGACTTATAAGCTCCAATTATTGTTCATATTTGTCATCAACAAGCCATATTCCCAAATCTTTCTTTAATTGCTTAGTATTTACACTTCGATGTGGATGGCGACAACTCTAATTGCTGGGGTTCTTTTATTGACAATTCAAACCCTTCAACTATCCTAATTAACCCACCCACACCCCTGAACAATGAAGTTTGCCAAGATTTATGTAATCACAAGTTCACAAGGCCAAAAAACTAAAAGGCTTACCCCACAAAAAAAAGGCCCATAGGCTTACATTCCACAAATACCCAAAAAAAAACAAAAAAAGTTCAAGGCTTTAGTTTATTTGAATAATAGATTTGCTAATTTCATCTTATAGATGCATGGCTACCAACTAAGAGTATAGTTTTTTTTTCCCGACTTAAGTCATGTATGGATAATGATTTCTGTTTTGATAAAATGTTGATAGAATAAATGTTTGAACGAGAGACTAAATGACCATTTTACCTTACATTCCAAAAAGCAAATTTCACAATATTTATCAATTTTAACGAGAGGAGTTGGGAGGAAAAAGAATAAAGGTAAAAATGTAATCGGTTGCTAACCCATTAAGCCAAATTCAGTCCAGATTAAGTAAAAAAGAAACAATATGCCCATTAAGCTTGTTAAGTCAAAACGAAACAACCCCTAAAATGGATTTTGCTAATGTCCTCGATCTCAATGAAAATGCAACATTTGGAGTTTTCTTAATTTCATCATAAGTTTACAATTTGAAGCATAGGTTTCGCACGAATAAAGAAAAAGGCGACAATATTTACAAATAATCAGCTTAAATTAAGATTCACGAACGAGCATCCACCAACCAGAACGTGAGCATTTTGAAATAAAAAACAAGAAAAGATGAATTAAATACGTTTACGTAAAAGGAAAAGTGTATATTAAATATTAATATAGGTAGAGTAGAAGGCGTATCGTATTGTGTTTACCAAATTTCAATCCTTCACGACTCGAATGACTATGCCACCTGGCGTGTGGAGTGTTTTGAGATGACCGGATCCAAGCAGATCACGCAGATGAAATCTGATATCCAAAGGTGAGAAACGCAGACGTTTCTTCTCAACAAGACCCAACATCATCTCTTTGTATTTCTTACGATTCAGTAGAGACATCACCTCTTTTCTTCCCTATAATGCCACCACTCATTATCAAAATAGCAAAAAAAACAAAAGGACATACCACAATTATATTATGATATTCACTACATGTCAAATACATATAACCTAATCTCATCATATTTGGAGCAATCACATTTACACACATACATGCTGGAATTTCTGACAAACATGGTTTGCATGTGAAGATACCCAGCAAACACTGTGATGTTACTATTCCAGTGAAACCAATCACATTCTATATTTCTATTGTAATACAAAATGACAATGTCATATATGTGGAAGTAGTTTTTTGTTATGTTAAAGATAGATAGATAGATAGATAGATACCTGTGTGAGGGCCTTGAGAAGTGAGCCGATATTTGGAATTGCAAACCAGTACATGTCAGGGTCGATAAGCTGACGAGTCTGAAAATGGTAAAACAGCCAAAGTGAAAAAGATAATCATAAGAGGAAGATACTATTCTTCATAAAACAGGGTACAAGAAGAAAATATCACAACTTCAAAGTGAAAATCTAAATCCAATAGTTACTATGTTATAAATAATAACTGCAGATTTACATGATTATTAAGCATGGCACAAACGTCTTTTGAACATCCAAATAAGTTGTTGATTTACTGAAATCAGGTTTGCCAGAAATAAAGAATCGCCATTTTTTGAGAATATTCAATTCGAATGTTGTTCTTGTAAACTTTGCAAAAGTAAAACTTTGTCATTTTCCATTCGTATACCCAATGTAATTCAATTCAGCCTTTTGATTTAATACATAATGATATTTTGTTACATTTATTGACGATTACAGTCATTTCACATGGATTTATTTCATGTGTTCAAGAGAGACATGGCACTCAACCCGATATCTCTTTTTTAATTCATACTATAAGCAAATTCAAATCAGCAAACTATGATAGGCTTTTATTGTCATTGTTTGTAAATATTTAGCAAGTTGTTTTATAGGCTACAATTCTGTAATTTGAGTTAAGAACTAGTTTGTATGTCGAGTATATAACGAGGTTTCTTCTCAAAGAGAAACAACTTTTGTCCAAAAAAAGAAGTCTCTAATTTTTCACCTATACATCACCTTCCTTGGTTTTGGGGCCATTGTTAGTAACCCTTTCTTGGTGGGGTTTGTTGGATCTGGATAAAAACTGGGCCAAAATTCGTATAACTATGTACCAACACATGGAACATCTTTGTTAGGTGTATGGTGAAATTAGGGTTTTTTGGTTTAAAGCCTATGGTTAGATTAGAATTTTTTTTTATTATGCTTAAGGAGACTAATCGTGTTATTATGTATGTGGAAATAGTGATGAAAAAACCTTTAGGCATATCTCAAGAATGAGAGACTACCTAGTGTGTGGAAGATTCGCTATAGATCATCTAAAATACAATGTGTGATTTCAAGTGTTGAAAGATGGGATACATGTCAATATGTGTAAATTACTTTTGTTATATGTTTTGCTTACATGAGTTGTTTGCATACTTATGAGTTATTATGTTTTATAAAGGAGTTGCATGGTTTACAATATTATTCATGCTGATTATATTGAAATCATACGGGATGTTGGTTATCTAGACTTTTGTTGGGACATGTTGAGAACTTTGATATGTAGACCCACTCATTGTAACACATTGTTAAGACTTAAGAATATTATGTAATCTACAACAACATGAAAAACCCATCTCCATAACAATTTTACTTTTAGGGGTGGAGGCTATATAGCACTATTGCATACCAAGTTAAGAAATAACCATCCGGGCACTAAAAATTAGATATCGACTCTCATTTGGAATTATTGGAGTCTTATCATTTTTATTAAAAAACCAGAATATATCTACGAAATCTCATAATATCTTAAAAGACTTAAAGCAACAATATTTGAATGTTGATAAAAAGTCAACAAGTCAACTGTCAACATGCCAGCATTTACTTCCCCCTAGAACTGCAAAAACATATCACCAAATTGACTTACCAGAAGACCAGCATTTATCAAAAGAGATATGTCCTCGTCTTTCACCTTTCCTCCTATTGATAAAAGTGAACACTGCAATTCAGTAAAACCAGATATAGTAAAAAAAAAATAACAATAAACATCTCATGCTTACAACTGTTTCGAATAATCACTTATAAAGTCAACAGTCTAAAGAACTTGGTTTAGTAAAGAAGTAGCAATTCAACTTAATTTTACACAAACAAAAATTAAGACATCATCATAGTTTAACTCACTAGCTCTTGATGTCCAATACAAGGTTCAAGCTTGCTATGGATGACATGCACTTCAAACCACTCAAAAACTGGAAGAACACTTTGCTTTTTAGCTTCCATGATTTTCACAGCCCGTTTCATCTATGATCAAAGTCAAGTTTCGTTAATCATGTCCTGATAATGGAATGGTACTTCTAAATTGCAGAAAAACTTGATATGAAAAATAAACAATGTTTTAACAAAACTGAAGAGGTCACTAACCTGGTTCAAATAATCTTCCATAAACATTACAGCATGATCATCTTGTCCAGTATTTAGTTTGAAAATGCGCAAAACTTTCTCCCTCTTCAATGACTGAGTATAATGCAAAGTTTAGAGCAATTCTAATACATACATAACTTCAACTATGCATGATTTCCCAAAAAAGACCATGCTCTTCCCAACAGAACCCTTTTACAGATAATGTATGCTCAAATCACATAAGAAGACAACAAAACAAACCTCTAATTCTCTATCAACTTGTGTCCTATCCTTCACACTGCTGTACAATTGGGATCGTAAGATAAAAGGCTCAACTGTAACCTGTGAAAGAATAGTGAAGTAAATTAGGATGGCAACTATCTTCAGTTAGAAAATGGACAAAAACACACAGGTTTCTCCAATGGTCTACTGATACGAACGCAAGAACTGCAAATAGAATAAGGCTCCTCTTTGATTTTTAACAAAGTACATATCAAACTGTCATTTCAAAAGTACCAAATTCAGCATGTAAAAGTCTTCCATACCTTATCAATATGAGGAAACTGTCCGCGCATCATGCGAAGAGCAACCATGGTGTCGCTGAATATAAGATTATCTTCTACATCATCGACATAATACATCTATGATCAGAAACCAACCATTACACACACAAAAACACCGCCCTGATAATCAAGTTAACGGAAATTGACGAGAAGGAAAAAAATTTAACCTAATGAAAGAGATTGATTGGAGCCTTGAGGCTCAGGTATCGCCTCCACTTCGCCTCGTTGTCTTTTCCGTGATGTTGACGAACTCTTACTAGTTTCCATCGAGCGTACAATTTTATTTGTTTTCCTTCCTCTCTTCCGGTAGGGTTTTTATAATTCGTTCTTTGCTCAACCTCCAATCTCGTATATCGCCACTAAAAGACTCTTCCGTCGCTGTCAAAATTCGAGTGCAAATATTCATTGCATTGTTCTCACCGGCGACAAGTCACCCGCCACCGCCTCGCCACAATCACCGCCAACCAAAAAGAAGAGTGGATTTGTCAGGGGTGGAAAAAAAATTGTTAAAGGTGTTTTTTGTAAAATAGTTTGAAATACCGTAGCTAGCACAGCATTGAATAATGACTATTAGGTTTTTAAACAATTAGTTAAGAATTTTGAAGTTAAAGAATGACTTTTATCCAAAAGTACTTTATTGATTTATAAAAATGGGAAAAAAGTTTTTTATTTTTTATTTTTTATTTTATTTTTTTTTTTTTTTGACAAAAATGATTGGATTACAAAGTGTTTGGCTTGATTTGGTCTTTTATCTATTCTGTAAACCAAATAAGTTATAAGTTGTTTTAAAAAAATTAGAAATCATGACTTTTTAAAATCTCATTTTCAAATAGTTAACAAAAAATTGTTTTAAAATGTCTTTTTATATACCCAAACACTTTAACTTATTGATTTTTTAAAAAATCAATAAATTAATAAGTCATTTAAATGAAATTGCAAACATCCTCTAATTAATGTAGGAAAATAAAAAAGAATTGGATAAAGCCATAAAACTATTTGATAATATGATTCTATCGTCATCATCTTAATAATCAGTTTTTTAAAATAGTTTTTTCTTCAAATTATATTTATTTTTTGACATCATTGATAATATTTTTACCCAAATCTTAGCACTTATCAGAGTATCCATCATCTTCAAATGTAGTTATTTTGAGATTATTGATAGTCTCAATAGAACAGCCATTAGATTAGACCTTTCACAGGTTCATTTCAAACCTACATAAAGTGAAATCAGAATCTTGTAAATCTTTTAAAGTCGCATTTAACGTTAAAAACTTTCAAGAGAAAAACAAATCGGTAATGTTTAAAGTGTTGGGTAAGTCAAAAGTCAAAACCCATAAATACATTGTGTGACGTAAATGGCTCGAAACACTTTATATATATATATATATATATATATATATATATATATATATATATATATATATATATATATATATAAAATAAGTCCAATCCCATTTTTTAGCAAAACACTTTAGAAAAGTGCATACATTAAAGATACACTTTCAATAAACTTATATTAATATTCAACATAATCTAAATCAGCTCATTTATCGAAATTAAAATCTCTACAAAAAGACTTGGACTTCTTATATCTCTAGTTCATGGAATCCATGTGATTTTTACCAAATCACCCATCGGTTTTATTGTTTTTCAAGCGGATTTCACCTTGGATGATGTTGAAGCAAGGTGCGAAAGGGCCCTATGACCCACAAACAGCAAGAACATTCCTAAAACTCCCAATGTTTTCAATGTTGTGAAAAGATCAAGCTGTAGGCAGAAACAAGAAACTCAAAATTAGAGCCAAAATGGAAAGAGTTGTTTGTTGATGATGTAAAGACAAAAGTCCAGAATCAAAAACATACCTTCAACCATAAAAGAATGTAGAGTACAAGAACAGCTGCAATACCACCATGGAATAGAATGGCGAATGTGGCGGGTGCTGTTGATGTAGGGAAATTCTTCATGTTGGCACCAAGACGCGACAACTGTAGAGAAGAATTTAATCATAACTTTTTCTTATGATGAAGATGAGAACTTGAGAAGGGCATTAACGTCTTTTGCACAGACAAGAAATCAAGAGCGAAACTTTGTCCCCTTGTTCCACCTTTTGTAGGCAAGACAAAAATCAGCAAACTTTTGTCCTACTGACATCAGTTACGGTCTTAGTCCAATGCATGCCAGACACAGTAGTACAGTACAAACTGTTATATCTTGGGATGATGAATAAAGGACTTACCCCGACCAAAAATGCAAGAAACGGAACAAAAACGAGACCCAAGAAAGCATAAGAGAGTTGTTGAGAAGGACGCGTCTCCTGAGGTCTGAATATGTGACTTATTTCTGGCATCGGGCCAAATCTTGAATACGGGTCAACAGCTTGTGGAGGCGGGCGGGTTGCCTTTTCGGGTACTTCAGGTAGATCCAAATCGATATGGCCATGAGCTTGTGAGAAAGAGTTCTCCTGGAACATAGAAATTGAGCTTGAAAAAATGACTGATAAATAATATGTGGTAAAAGTCAAAAGTCAAAAACAAGGTTGAAGCATTTATTACCATGGCAGCATCACCAACTGTCAACTCAATGTCGTATTTACCCGAGAGATAAAATAATTTCTCAACAAGCCCAAGAAAATCCTGCAACAGAGAAAGTAGCATATAGTGTCAAAAATATACATAAAAGTACAAACTACTTTTTTACATTTCTATTAATTTAACCACTGAAGTGTCTAAATTGATATAGTGGTGAAAGTATGTTGGTTGTATTTTACCCATCTTCTAAACTGGGTAACAGGAATATGGTTAATATGGTGATAGTACAAGTGTTTTTCTTTTTTTTTTTACTAATTATTTTAACAAGAAACATGAAAATGGAAATGGTGAAAGAAAATGACCAGTGTTATCTTAAAATGTTCGCGAGAGTTCCCCACAACAAAAATATGTTCAACTCCAGATTCGTGTCTCAACTTCAACAATGCTTGGTGAGGGTTGAATGGGTTTTGAAGTGGAGTTGTCAACTGAAAAGACAACCTCAGCTTTTGAAGATGGTTTGCTGACAACGCCACGTCATTCTTTCCAGATAAATCAAGCCTAATAATAAATCATATTTTTTTTTAAATCATAATCAACGAAAAAAAGTGGAATTGTAAACACAATTAAAGTAAACATACTTGTTTTGAGACTCTACACTGTCGCTCTCGAGTATTTCAATTTTGGCATTATCAATTTTGATGGCTCCTGTGACATAAACGGGCACCTTTGTGCGTCCTCCAGTTGCATATATTTTTTTATGTTCTGGATCTGAAAGCACAATCTACAAGGTACAAAATATAATCAAAGATTAAAGATGTTTTGTTAATAACTTAATATAATAATGTAAACAAGTCATTATGGATATGTTTTTTACATAATATGAAATACCTCGAAAGCAAAAATATACTTCCCAACATCAACACCTGCTGGAAAAGCATCAAGGGTGTGGACCTCTTCTTTAGGGTCAAATCTGAGTTCCTGAAAATGGACAAGTGAAGATTATTAAATAATTAAAAACTATGCATAAAACAATACATAACTGCAGCAGAAATGTAAGAAGAGATTTTTCATGGTGTACCTGATTAATTATTGAAGCGTCCTTTGATCCAGAGGTGAAAACTTGCATGAGTTTTACTGATAAAGGAGGTGTGGTAGATGTAGATCCCAGTACAGTGGTCACCCTGACCTGTAAGCAAAAGCTATAGGATAAGTGACAAGCTAAAACCTAAATTCTAAATAGAAATCATTTATAAAACTTTATATTAGTGATTGAAATGTAGGAAAAAGTCTATAATTTAACAATTTTGAAACATAAAATGTAATGAAATAGGTCTACCAAATGAATCAACACACCTTAAGTTTGTCTTGGCTGGTAAACGAAAGGACACTAGCTGGAAGTGATAAAATGAGAGGAACCAATGCCCTAAACGAAAAATAAAAAACAAAAATGTCAATAGATTCAAGAATAAATGTGTTAAGACTTAAGAGAAAATATTATTCACTTGCCTGTTTTGATCTAAGCAAGCTAAAGCATCAACTTGGTGATATAAATCCTTGCTATTGCCATGGATTCCAATCCCAAGAAAAAATCTTGCCAAACCCAATATCTTGTCCCCTGGTATCTGCAAACATCCAAAAAAAAAGAACTATAAATTTTAAAATTATGATCATAGGAAATACAAGTGGTGTCTAGAAACATAACAAGAATGTGTCATACATTTAAAGTTCCGGAAGCGGAAGCGAAAGTTGTCAGCCCATGAACAACTGATGAGGTGGCTGAAACAGGACCTTGATGTTGATCATTGAAGAAATTGGCCCCATCATCTACAAAATTGTAGAAAAAATAGGAATCATGTATAAAATTATGATATCTCCCATGCTAGAACATAAAAAAAAATATGCAAAAAGAACAGAATATAATTCATGCACTAACCATATTTATCAATATTTTCAAATAGCTTCACAACATCCTTTTTCAGTGCCTCAATCTGCAGAAAGAAAAGGATAATTAGAAAAGATAAGACCCTTAATACAATAATATGTCCGGTAAACAAGAAAGTTAAGAAAAGGGCACAAGCAGCTGAAATTTGCCAAATTCTTCAATGTACAAGTACGATTGTAGAAGTTTATAAAAATTTATAAATGCCACAACATTTTAAACCAAGGGAATAAACTTGGTGTTAGCTTCAAGATTGGTTTGCACTTATGTGGAGTAGCAACAGTTCATACAATATACTATATAAAGCAGAATATGAAACTAAATTACCAGATTGCCATCAAGTTCAGAAGACGTCAAAGTAATAATTCCAGAAAGTGTTTCAAGTGCTACTCCTGAGTCAAATAAGCATATTAACTCAGTGTCATATAAAATAAAACAAACCTTTACAAACTAACAGCAACCATACTACAACAATCTGACAATAACAAAAAGCCTAAAATACATCTCATTTGATAAAAGAAATAAATATATTAGAAAAACCATAAGATACTAATCTCATTGGGTGTAGAAGGCTTACCTGCAGCATAAGTGCTTGAGTCAGGATTGTTAGAGCTGTAACGCCACCTTCCATCACTTTGACTAAGAGCCTAAAAAGAACATGCAATGTCAACTTGGTTTTGGAAAAAGTAACAGGAAAGTTCATGAGATTTTTAAAGGAGGAAATGGGATTAGCAATTTCTATAACAAATAATATAGGCAACTAACCTTTATGGATTGAAAAATTCCATCAGCATCGTCAAGAAGCACATCAACTTCAGAAGTTTGATCCTGCGTGATTAATAAAAAAGAAACCTTTTGATGCAAAAGTGACAGCAAAGTGATATTCATATACAACTAGTTACTTGCAGACAAGAAAAGATGGTCAGGATTTGATGCAAAATTGAGAAATGAAATGTTGAATTTGTTCCAAAGACTATGTACCTTGATTAGTGTCAAACCTCCTATCGAATAGTAGAAATCTAGAAGTGACTTTGCATCTTTGACAGAGCCTTGAAGCCTTGATGTAACACCCTAATGATATAAAACACCAAAACTTAAGATTCCAAACATTTTCAGCTTAATCTGAACAGAAAATGGTTGCAAGATTAAGTATACCGTTAGAGCTTCTTTGTTAATCTTGCATTTTAATAACGAACTAACTCGTAATGCATGATACAAATCCTTTGAGTTGGATGATTCTGAAGAAAGAATATCCACCACAGATTTACAAGTGGAATCCTTTAGATCAGGTTTTGTGTCTATTCCAAGGATTTCAAATGTCCTTAAAGCTTCGAATGCTTCTTCTAAGCTGAAGCAGAGAAAACCTAATCAGATGTCTAAGTGATATATCAACAATAAAGTATACCCGAGAGATGAAAAAGGAATCGCTCTGAAAAAACGAATTAGACATAAGTTTCGATTATACAGGCTTCTGTATACTTTTTTTCACTCACTCAAATAGTCACACACCCCTTAAATGTCTCCCATGAAACTTGACCCACAACCTTTAGGTTGATGCGTATGAAATGAGCCCTTAGATAGTAATTAAGCTAGACACTTTTCAGTATAAGTTTTGATGTGCTTGATGGAAAACGCACTGAGTTTACCATATGAGGTATGATTTTTCATTATAGAAGTTAAGGAAAACCACTGAATTAAAACAAATAGTACTACAACATCGCTCGTATTCTGTACATAGTTCCCTAATCAAGCTACACACTTTTAGTTACCACATAATACTTCATTTCATTATATTTTATCAATATCTACAGTTCTGCAATCCAATTTGCATAGGTGCATTATTATTTATCCTTCCTTCATCCAACAAATCTACTAAAACGAAGAGCAAAACGTATATACGACGTGAATAGTTATTATATAGCCCCTGACGCCCAATCAATAATTATGCTAACACTAAACAGAACCACGTAATCATACCAAATGAATACCAATGCAACCAATAACTACACCAGATAATCCGTAAATAATTCAAGTACAGGCATATGAAACAAAAAATGATATGGACGTTACAAGGGTTCAGGTCGACCTCGAAAATGAACCATCGGCAGGGGAAAACAGTTCAATTGCCGCGGACTTGTGAGATTCAGAGATCGGGTTAAATATTGCAGCAGCCTCACAGATCGACGCTACTGCTAGTAGTAAAAAAGTAAATCCTAATTTCCTCGCCATTGCCTGTAAGAAAACGAGGAATTACATATAATTCCGAAAAAGAAAATTGCAGGCATCTGCAATTGAGATTTTATAGGGATCGTACGAATTTGATCGCCGGTGAAGACGGAGGAGCTTATCTACAGAGTACGAGCATGTAACACCAGTTGAATGTGGAAGCTGGAGTCTTCCTCTCTGGGGTTTAACACAGAAAAGCGAAGACCATGTAATTCTCGATTTTACCCCTGTGTTGGATGTTACCGGCAGCTTGAGGCTTGAGCCCAAAACGTGCTCCGAGCTAAATGGACGTTATTTTTAAAAACGGGTCGACATTTGGACATAAGTTAGTCCACAAAAATGATTGATGGAATTTGCCCATATAAAAAAGAAATTCATTTTTTATTTGTTTGTTTATTTTTAGTTTAATTTTTTAGTCGTTTGAAATAAAAATAATGTATTCAATCATTTAAAAGTAAATATATTAAAGATATTATTTTTTATTTGACCAAATTCCTTGGTTTTTTCAGTTTAACCTCAAAAGATTTTTTTTTCTAGTTTAATCATTAAGAGGTTTTTCTTTTTAACATAAGTTATATAAATCTTTAAATTCTTTAAAAAATTGGAATTTATTCATTTTAACCACTTATAGAAATTATTTTTATGACTTAACTATTAAATTTTTTTTAAAACTAACTAGAAAAATATACTTTTTATTGTTTTTTTAAAATGATTATATGAAAAAACACAGTAGTATTTCTAAAAGGAAAAAGGAAATCATTGGTTAAAAAGAAAAAAAAATCTTTAGGTGTTAAAGAAAACAAACTATAATGGTTTTTATGGTCTTGAACATATTGATTTTCAACAAAAAAAAAATATGCAAATATAGTATAACTAGTTTCAAAACTGAGCAATATTTAAAATATCTAATTTAATGAAAAATGAAATATAATTTATTTATTAAATTCATTAAATAAGCTGTATATAGAAATAGTTCATATTGTTTAAAAATATAGTGTCTATGTATTTCAATTAGTTAAAAAATTATTTATCATTTAAATATTTTATAAAAATAGATAAATAAATGTCAATGTGGGACTAACCCACTTTAGATTACATGTTTCGAGTTCTATTCTAGACGTTGACGGTTTCGTGATACTAACTAATAAACAATTACCCTGTCGTTCAAAAAATAGATAAATAGATAACATTATACTTAAAATTAAATTTTTTTGATAAAAAAAACATAAATTTAATCGAAGTTTTGAAATAACATTTAGTGAAGAATAACCTATTTAATTCTTTTGACAGTTATGACTTTTTTTCATGCAATCCAACGATTCGTTATTTTCTATTTTCGATTAATGTAGGTCAAACACAAACTGAATCTCGTAAATAGTATAAAACATTAACTTATAAAGGTACAATAAAAATCTATAGCTTTAAAATAAATTTGATTTGAAAGGCTGTAGACACACTACGCATGTTTTTTTGACAGTTGATCTGTTTGACCCATTTTGTAGTTGATTCTTTTACACACTTAATCCATTAATAATAGATAATTAAAATCAACATATACACATAATAAAAAACAAAATAAAATAAAATAAAAACTACACACCTAATTTCCAACCGCATATGACATACACTCCACTTTTGCTCGATTAAGCGCATCTGCTTGAGATATAACTTAAAGTTAACACTTCGGATTATAGAACAACACATAGTGAAGATATTAATCAGCCTACCTTGTGTCATCAAAAAAAATATTAAGGATCAAGTCATTTCCGTGTTATAAGAAATTAGACCAGAGATTGACCAAATACATCACCAAACCACTTTTCCTCTTCTTATAAATAAGAAGTGCTAAAAATGATTACTTAAATTACACCGGTGCATAAATGATCTATTTTCAGCAGACTCTCTCAATTCCTTTTTGGCTTAAATGTTTTGATTTTACATATTTGATCCTTTAAAGATAAACACATTCCAAATCAATCATCTTGTCATTAAGAAACAGCCACAGGTACTACTAACAAGTTGCAGTAACTAATTAAGCTAACACACATTAAACATAACAATCAAAAGTAGCAATTGCTCAATACTTCCTTGCTGGTTTTTGGGTAGGCAGCAATCCAAAGCGCTTCTTCAACAAAACTCTCTGCCTCGAGAACTTGTCATCAGGGGAAAACCGAGCTGTAAATCAGTCCAAGAGTTATACCACATAAACTTCACTAATGACATAACAGGCTGTACTATGTCTGACATACATTGGACTAAGATTGTATTTGACATGCATTCGACTATGAATTAAATCAATGAAACAAAAATTGCAGCTTTTTGTCTAGTCCAGTCGTGTCCCGTGTAACAAAATTAGACAAGTAGCATACCAGGATGAGCTGATTGTGTGGCCAAACCAACGGGTGATTCTTTCTGCATACAAATAAGGGTTCAAATTATTATGTGGCAATGATAAACATAAAATCAAGGACTTCAACGACAGGACAGTCAAAAACTACATAATAATATACTGAAAAAGAAAATAAACAATGAACTCAAAAATTAAAGCAACAAACCTTGGTGGTGTAAACTTTGTCACCATTATCATTTATGTAAAACTGGAGATACATTTTGGCTTTGAGCAAACTGTTCGAACAACAACACATATGGTTAATAAAATACCCAAAATTTGGTATAAAGATAATAGAAGTATGGTCAAGTGACGCCTAGCAACTTTTTTCAGAACTCATAATTCCGAATAAATGAGTAGCTACTAGTGATAAACAAAGGAAAATATAAATGAAACACGGAAACTAAGCCACCTATTGAGGAAAATCTATGAGACAATCAATAAAATACATAGCAAAAAGAAAAAAAAGGTACTGCGATTACATATACGCATCGAGCGACAGAGTTCAGGCAAATCGAAATATTCAAAAAAGAGAATGGGATCAGGAATCAAACAAACAGATGAATCAAGTAACCAGATATGAACGAAAAGTGAAAGTTCGGGTACCTTATACAACTGATAACACTCGCCGGGGAAGAATGCGCACTGATGCCTGCAACCGAATACGTCTAGGGTTTCGTTCGGGGTTTTAGGGTTTTTGTATTTATAGCGAATGAAAGGTAAGACTAAAATCCCTACACTTTAGCTTAAATACACTTTTTCCCTCGTCTTCATAATTTTTACAAGAAACCTCTTTTAAGCGGTCTTTGGTTCGCATAAATAAAACAAGTAAACATGAAAATGGTGAGTTTTAAAACATGAAAATGGTGTAATCAATCCATTCGTATTTATATTTGGTGTTTTAGATGTTTGTTTTTCTGTAAAAAAAACTTTTTTGACTTTTTTTTTTTTGTGCGGCATAGTTCACGTGCAACACTTGTCATCTCGCTACAGTCTGTTTTTTAAAAGGTTTCAGATTAAAATATGTATGTGCTTATTCTGTACCATACATCACTTGACTTGTCTCTTCAAACCATTTCCAACATAGAGAGATCATACACTCAAAAAAACGCCGCTCTCTTCTTCCTTCCCCCATCGAATTTGTCTCCTTCTCCAGTCAAACCTTGATCGTCGCAGCCTCACAGTGTCGTCGTCGGTCAGTCCCTCATTCGTTGTCATCGCCTCAGCCTTCCTTCGCCACTGTCATCCGTGTGAACAGGTATGTTTCTTTTTTCCGAAATTGATTGTTCCTGAAATTGCCAGTTGTTAAAATCGATTGTATCCTCTTGAAATCAATTTTTCTTTTCAATGTTGTTGTTATGCTAATTTTTAGTTTGTTAAAATCGATTTTTGGCAAAGTTATAAATGGAATGGATGTTATTCAAGTATATAACATGTGACCTCAACTAGTTTTTTTTTAATCTTGGAAATTGTGAGAATATTTTATTCTATGTACTAAGTTATAACTTGTGGACACCACGAGTGAGAAAGAAAAAAATATATAAAAATAAATTATAAGGTAATGATTGACCAATAATAATAAATTTTTTATTAATTTAAAAGCATATATGTTTTTAAATCATAATCTATAATGAAAATTTACATTTCATAAATCTAAATCGTATATGACTATTTACAAAAAACCAATCTCATAAACGCTAACAAAATATCCATATGTAACACCAATATACATCAAAGTAGCATCCCTTGATAAACAAATCAATAAAAGTACACTGTTATTTCTTACTTGGTGAATTATAACATCCAACTTTCCTTATATGTCTATCTTTTTCTTTTTCCTATTCCTTATCTAATTCCATATCCATGTCAATATATTGCATACTTTGTAAACATAATTCAACCATTCAAAAGTATTAAAAAGCTAAAATTGAAACCCTTTGGTATTTTTTTATCCTATATAAACATAATTTTGGCCAATTCCTACCATAACACCAGATACCATGGTCTACGATACTCAGAATAACGACCCTTGGAGCATTATCACCAAGAAACCCAACCTGTGGATTTAAATAACAAACCAAATAGATTTGAACTGAATATAGTAAAAGATAAAAAAACATCAAAATATAAAAGAGAACGAATAATATACAATCTTCGTCATACCATTTCTATTGTCACAAACAAAGGGCTTAATATTCACATTATCAATCATGTTCTATAAGGATGAACTTCAAACCTCTAATCAACTTATAACAAAACTTTGTTATATGTATCAATCATAACAAATCTCCTATTCTTGCATTTATAAAGTATAAGAATTTAAATTTAGTCATGGAAGTTGTTGGTTTTATTTCATATTTAGCATACACATCAACTAAAGGTGGAAAGCAGATCAGTCCGTATATGTGAACATGCATAACTTTCTCCAGCAATGTAAAAATCGAACTACCGAACTTCTTGTTTAATAGAAACTAGGTGGGGACCCCCGCGTTGCGGGGGTCGGATGCGACAATTTTTTCCGTTGTTTGTTCTTTGTAAATGTCATTTGATCAACTATTGATAAACACAGAATTCCCAAATACCCTGTAATCAAGAACACATAAATCGATTTTTCTGACCAAAATACTTAAAAAAATAGATTTCAAAATAATCACAATTTAAGTCGCAGCTTTCCATCTGACCATAGCAGCCTATTATTATGAAAAATTGTGTAAAATATCCCTTAAGCAGCTTCAGTAATAAAGTCATAAAATAAAATAATGCTCCGGTTTAATAAAACAGGTTGCATATCTTTTAATAAAACAGCTTATTATTACGATCAAAAGTTTTACGGGAAAAAATTTCAATCAAAACAGGAAAGATTTTTTAAGTTTGAAGTACAGTGCTATTCACTGCATGTATAACCTAAAAATGGAAAAGTCATCAAAATGACAATGCAAAAAACAGAAAAAGAAAAATAGGTACAACTTCAAAGTACATTGTTATTTAGGGCATTTTAGTACCAAAAATAGAAAATGTACCTAATGGCAATGTAGTTAGGTTTTTGGAAAAAATAATCAAAAGAAAAATGGAAAAAAATAATAGAAGAAAAACATGAAAAGTCAAAGTATGTTGCTATTTACTGCAACTATACAAATGCGTCCATGTCACATGCAATATTAAAACAAACAATTATAAAAAATGAGTAGTTGTAATTGGAGGCAGATAACAAACAAAATGATAGTATTAGTTTAAAATTAGCAAAAAATAAAAAATGTTCCAACCTTGCAATTATAAATGTATAAATGCAAAGTTCATTGCTATTTAGAGCATATTACTCCTAAAAATGGAAAATGCACCTAATGCCAATGTAGTTAGGTTTTTGGAAAAGAAAAATCAGAAGAAATTCAAAAAAAAGGGAAAAAATTGTAAATTCATAGTACGTTGCTATTTACTACATTTACAAACTAAATATGGAAAAGTTTAATGTCATATAAGTGTCAAATATAGATCACATGCCTTATTTCCAATTGATTATCAATGAAAAACAATAATTTTTAATTATAATAATGCCTAATTTTTAATTTAATAATAAAACATATTAAAAAAAAAGGGAAAAGCTGTTAATTGAAAATTATACCCCAGCATAGTAGTTCGACCTGCTCCCTTGAGAGTGTACATCCCTCAGGTGTAAAGGTTCTTGCCACCAGTGTTGTCGGCGCAATTGACAGTGGCAGCCACTGGCAAACCAAGTGACATACGAAATTTGTTCCCAGCGGTACCTCCGCAACCTGAAAAACATGAATCACATATCAAAATTTGTTGATGTTTTCATAAACATAAGAAATTCGTTAAAAATACTATACAAATTTTTTTCACTTATGCACTCATACCTGAAAAACATGAATCACATTTCAAAAAAGTTAAAGACTCACAGCTTCAATAAGCAACTGTATTTCCGAATCTGCAAGTTGTATGTTCAACTTTTGCAATACGGTTTTTAATTCTTCAATTGTAACATTGTCATTTTCATCAATGTCAATCTTTTTGAACATTTCTTTAATGTCTTCAACCGCTTCATTGGATAAGAAATAAAAAATCACATATATATCAAAAAGCATAAAAAAAAACACAGGCCCATTAACTGTATTAATATATGTGTGTTTGTTATGAAAAGAAAATAAAGGGAAAGAGAAAAGCAAACCAACCCTCAAAGCTTTTTTCTTGAATCGATAAACTTCCAGGTGTACCCACAAGTACATCAACTCCTCTCTAAAGGTCTCTCAAGTGCAAAATAATGAATCAACTAATCAACTTAATAGTTATATAAACAAAAAAATATTACTATAATATCCCCAAGTTGTAATTTCATGTTGATTAATAGGGGATCTAAGATAAACAACTACAATTTCTTCTTCCCCATACGTCCATAACACATGTTGATCTGAATTATCACATTCAGGCATAACATCAAACACCTTGCAGAAGCAATTTTGTTTCATAAACTTCACAACAGCTGTCAATTTATCCAGTTTGATATAGCATTTGCCGTGGAAAAACAATAAAACCCTTTAGTAACTATGAAAAAAAAACCTTACAATTCAAGGTTAAAATGGTCCGGTCTGGGTTAAATCTCATATTCCAGGTACGGTCCGGTCCAAACCCTAAACCCGATGCAGAGCATGAATCGACACTCTTGGCTTCTCGGTTTTCTTGGTTCAGGGGAAACCGGAAACATGTCTGATCTAAATCGAAAGCGGAAACAAAACCGTGAAGAAGAATAAGTCTCGGTTTTCTACAACCTACAAACCTTTTGCATTATCATGTACCAAACTTGGTACTTGTCATCAAAAAACGTTACATGTAACTAACCAGAAGATGATCATTCTTGGCCACCATTTCTATTGTTGCTCTCCATTTCTTCAACATCCTCAAACCTTTGGTCATTTATTTGATGCTGTGTAATCATCAATATTGCATACTTTGTGTCAGTTGCATAAATTTGTAAAAAAGTTAGAAACATTGTTGCATAAATGTACATGGCTTATACATTTTTAAAACCATATGATTACAAGGTTATCCATTCTTATTCACTCACTTTCTTATAAGCATGTGGTTCCAATTACAAATGGAATCAAGACAAACAGATGAAACAGAAATATAAAAATCGAAACAACACTTGTCAAGAATTCAGTTATACATGAAATCAAAGTTGGATTGGAAAAGTTGTGTAGAGTTCATACCTCAAGCACATTGTGTGCTAGATCATGATCTCCATTCGGATGACCAATTGTGGTGAAATGAGTTTGTGAAAAATCCCATTCCTGATCAACTCCATCTAAACATCACAGTAAGTTGCATAAATATAATATAAGAATTGATTACATTAAACGGAATAAAGTAATTAACATATAGAAGAGGTAAATAGTGTTTATACCTATTATACCCATGGCAGGTCCCAGCTGATCAGCACTGAATATCCAATTATGCTCCTCAGGTTCATCCTCTGAAGAAAGAAGTAAATATCAGTAGAAAGCTCAAAAAGGCTTCAAATGTAAATTTAAGCAAGCAATATACCTTCAACAGGTTCAGGGTTGAGCTCTGCACACTCACAGAACACCTCGAAGAGAGCATCCACTATCAACCAATTTAAGTTAATTTATTAGGATTGTGAAGCAGTGTATTGAGATTTAAGATGGAAACTGAATTTTGATTTTCTATATGTATTGAAGTTAGATTTTGGAAGTATACATTGATTAGGGTCTGAAGGCACTAGTCTCATTTCGGTGATCTTTGATAAATCAGATGTCTCATTAGATTCTGAATCTGATTTTCTGATTCATCATCATCTTCATCACCTGTATCAATCTAAAATAATGAATCACAGAACCTTCATTCATATCAAAAAAGTTGATAAACTTCATCTCCAAATACTCTTAAACACAACACAATACATTCCAATTAAATATTGCTTCAGTCATTTAGTGCAATCTAAACATAATACATTTCACATCGAGATAAAATACAATCCAAAACAATATAAGTACAGTTGTGTTAGAGGCGTAATATATGTGTATATATGCAGGGAGATGTAAATGCCTCAGGATCCCTAGACACCGCATAAAGAGACACCGAGAAGAAATCAACAGCGTAGCCTTTTGTCCTCTCGGTATCGCTCAACCATATCAGTTGTCTACAAAATTCGAACGAATCTTAGGGATAAAAATGAAATTATTTACGTAAGCAAATGCAGAATTGTCAGAAGAGTTGGAAATTTACTTGGTAGAGATGTAGACCGTGGCAGAGATAGTTCAAATCAGTTACGTACCTAGAGCAATAATCCCTAAATCGCTGGTTGCAGATCGATGGGAAGTCGAAGGCGATAGACAAAATCTAACCAATTGTGTAATAGATGGACGGAAAATTCATCTGATCGTCTAAAAATAAAATGAAATTAAAACTGGATATAAAGGTAATGGCATAGAAAGAAACGAAAATAGGGTTGAAGTTCATTACATGAACCGATTGTAGACGTGGGTCCTATCTAGGGCTCGAATGCGTGAAGACATTGGTGTTGTGTAGGGGTTGGAAGCAGTGAGTGTGAAGATGAGTAATAGGCGTCTACCTCTTCGGTTTATCGGAAGCCAGAAAGGGGAATTGATAAGAGAATGGTTTGAAGGAATCTGGGTTCTGATATAGTGTTACAAAGAACGGAAACAAATGGGAAGCGAGAGATGAGACATGACTGAGGAGATAAAGTAGAGTAGAGAGAACATACCTGGAAGCCGACGTTGATAACTGCGGAGCAGTCTCCGAGTTGGCTCGATGGAGACGGTGGCGAAGTGGCGGGGGTGAGCGTTCAGTAGAGACGTTGGAGCAGGAGGGAAGATAACGTGACCGAGGGTGCGAAGCAGGGAGAAGAGAGAGGCGGTGAAGGGTATGGATGGCACATTGAAACAGAAGAAATCGAGATCCGATGTTAAAAATTCAATGGGGGAAGATAAGGCAGAACCGGTGGAGGAGACGTGTGAATGACACGTATCAAGGCCCATCCTTATCTTTACACCTCTATTAATAATTTAAGGGACCAAATAGGATGAGAAAAGGAGGACACGTGGGATAAGGCTTATAAGAAACAACAAATAACACCCAAAACCCAAAATCATAACATAAAGGACCAATCTTGCCAAAAAGGACAACACTTTACTATTCAAATTCATGCTCTTCTTTAATATATATATATATATATATATATATATATATATATATATATATATATATATATATATATATATATATATATGAATGTCTGAATGAAACTAACTGACCATTTTACTCTAAATCCATAGTGAATTTCTGTAAAAGTAGTAAATCTTTATGCTACATAACCAAAAAAAAAATGAAGATCTAGTCTTCCATACGAAAAATAAAAGTAAAATTTTGACTTTTGAGGCTAAAGACTAACTTTTTATTCCAAGATTGATATACATTCTTCATATTTTTAATTAAAAGAAAATTGTAACTATGTTAAAAGCATGCCAACATATCTAATGCATGATGTTCATGTAACATTTGTGACATTTTTAATTTAAACTCCGATTGAAAAAAAAAAGTAGATTTGACCTTGGATAAGTTGAATTGGTATTTATAAGCAATAAACAACGATTTAATGAAACTACAATAAAAACACTTGCATAAAAGAAAATTGTAACTATGTTAAAAGCATGCCAACATATCTAGTGCATGATGTTCATGTAGCATTTGTGACATTTTTAATTTAAACTCCAATTGAAAAAAAAAGTAGATCTGACCTTGGATAAGTTGAATTAGTATTTATAAGCAAGAAACAACGATTTAATGAAACGACAATAAAAACACTTACATATATAGTAGCTTCTTGCGCAGAAGTTATGAATGCAGCAAAACCCAATACATATGTATCGTCTGAACCTGGATTTTATCAAAATTAGGTAAAACAGGTTAAATAATATGAAATGTGTAACGCTCGCAGATTTGGTCTAGTCAATTCAGAGACAATAAGCGTCAAAAATTACTTTTTGATAGAAGATTATTTAGGATAAATAAGCTTAACCAAGTTATAGTATATGTCACAAGGATTCCATACATATAAAGAACGCTGAAATCTGACTTATAACGAAGAAGTTATAACCCATCGAAGTTTTGTGACAAAACCAGCACGACGTTGTGTGTCGCAAAAAGTGAATTTTTTATAAACTACTTTTTAGCCTTAGTGATCTAAACAAAAGTCGTAGTAGACGTTAAACCAAAATCGTGCATATATAGAACATCCAAATCTGACTTCGTATGAGGAAGTTATGATTTTTCTAAGATTTGGCATAACAATATGCAGCCCGGAAATCAAATTTTAGATCGATCAATTGTTAGCCGACACAACCTAAACGAGAATTAAAGATCTCGTTAGTAGGAACTCAACGATATAAAGACAGACGAAAACGGACGTCGGATGACAAAGTTATGAATTTTTAACGGACTTTATATGTCTAAGCCTGTTAAAATATAACTTTAAAAAGAAAGTCAAAATTAGTCTAAACGAAAGTTGTAGATCACGTCGCCACCTATGCGTGGATATAAAGAACATCAAAAACGGAACTCGTATGCAAAAGTTACGAAATTTAGAAGTTCATTAAATTATGGAAGGATGCGAGGGTGACATGTGGGTGAATCAGGGTCATTCCTTTCTCTCCACGGTTTTCGCTTCAGATGATGACACCTACCCCCCTCATACGCACAGTGTAGGGCTTCGGACGCCCCTCATACTTAGTACGCCCCGCGTATGCGCAGCCCCACCAACCTATAAATAGAAGTGTTTTTCTTCATTTCTCTTCACACCTTTCTCATTCTTTCTCTCTCAAATACCTATCTTAGCCCCTCCCATTCCCTAGCACTTCCCAAGTGTTAGAGGCGAGTCCCGGAGGGCCAGAAGGCTCCGAGAAGAAGAGCTTTCGGCTCAGAAGTTCTACACGCGCAGAGCCCAGTTCTTCGCTAAACCCCCTTATAAGTGAGTTATGCTTACCTTACTTTAACTATAACTAATGTTTAAGTTCATTATCGTTATTATGAACCTACAAGCAATATATGATGTAAGTATAATAAAATATAAATTATACAAAGTGTTATTATAATACCTTTTAACTGCTCGCGGTACGAGGAATCTGGTTTGAATGGCCACATAGGTTGTTTGATTTCAGAACAGCTTAAATGCCAAAATGGTCCTGCCCTTCGGTGTTTCATGTCTGGCCCCTGTCTGTACATAGTAGTTGAAAAGTATTGGTTAACACTTATAAAACAGTATAACTCGTAGACCTTGAGTTAATAATTAGTCGCAATAAATATTATACTAAAATCTAGTGATAATGATACTAGGTTTCGTCGAAGGAAAATAAACTGTTAAAAGCGAAGCGCTGCCCGAGTTTGGAGTCATCACTTTAACAAGTGAGTGCATAGTTACTTTCATCTTACACATAGATATGAAGTATTTAATATAAATTACGTGTTATGTGTGCATATTATATGTGTTCTTGATATCTATGTTGGATGAACAAAATATACACGTTTTACTTGATTTAAACTGTATATGTATTTTTATACCTATAAAATATATTGGGTAAAAATGGGTAGATGAAATATGAGATGAATGAAGAGAGATGAAAGATGATATAGATGATGAGAGGTGAAAAGATGATGAGAAGCCTTGACCCAAGCGATGATTCAGTCATCTAGCAGAGTATAGATGACTACCACAGACTATTCTAGACAGTCCAGTTGAACGCTAGTAGGCTCACAACCTTTAGGTGTTGTGAACGATGTGTTCACCATATGTACTCTAAAAACTCTGGCAACTATGGACTTAGTGTCTTACAAATGAATGTTGGCAACTATGGATTTAGTTCCCTATAGATGAACATTGGCAGTTATGGACTTAGTGCCTAATAGATAACATCGGCAACTATGGACTTAGTGCCTGTTGGTGAATTATAACATCCAATTTTCCTTATCTGTCTATCTTTTTCTTTTTTCTATTCCTTATCTAATTTCATATCCATTTCACTATATTGCATACTTTGTAAACATAATTCAACCATCCAAAAGTATTAATAAGCTAAAATTGAAACCCTTTGGTATTTTTTATCCTATATAAACATAATTTTGGCCAATTCCTACCGTAACACCAGACACCATGGTCTACGATACTCAAAATAACGACCCTTGGAACATTATCACCAAGAAACCTAACATGTGGATTTAAATAACAAACCAAATAGATTTGAACTGAATATAGTAAAAGACATCAAAATATAAAAAGAGAAAGAATAATATACAATCTTCACCATACCAGTTCTATTGTCACAAACAAAGGGCTTAATATTAGGGGTGAGCAAACCCAAACCAAGAAACCGAGAAACCGACTAAAACCGACGAAACCGAAGCAAAACCGACGGTTAGGGTTTGAATTTTTTAAAAACCAAAAAATCGGGTTCAATTTCGGTTTTTACCCAGAAACCGACCCATCCAACCTGAGAAACCGACCCATACTTAAAACCGACAAACCGCCCCAAGAAACCGACCCATCCAACCTGAGAAACCGACCCATACTTGATTGTTTTTTGGTTGTAATAGACTATTTCAAGCTTTGGTTGTCACTTGTAATAAACTATTTGTTGTAAGACTTATGTTTTTTTGAAGTATTTAACTTAAATTTGGTGTTTTTTGAAGTATTTAATTTGTTGCTTCATTTATGAAAAATGGGTTAAAACCCAAAACCCATGGGTTTAAACCCAGAACCCGTGAATGTATGGGTTGAACCCAAGAAACCGAAAAACCGAACCGACCAGAAACCAATCTTATCGGGTTCTGAAAACCAGAAACCGACCATTTATGGGTTGGGTTGGGTTTGGGTCCAAACCGACCCAAACTGACCCATACACAACCTATTGAAAAGTTAACTTTTAACCTAAAACAAATACAAACACTTTTTAAAGATTTTCTTTTAGAAAAAATCACTACCCAAAAATAAAAAAAAGTAAAAGACTTTTATCCTTAAAAAGTAATCCCAAACGTCCCTCTTCGAACACCGCCGGCAAGCCGGATTCCTGACTGCACACGCAAGAGCACCTATGCTTTCCTTCTTCGAAACCACGCATCACCTACTCCACCGGTTACCTTCATTCTTCTATCAGACGTTGGAACAGAAGCAGTACAAAATTCAACATTAATAACTTTGTATTTCCAATTCCAATCACTGTAAGCTTACGAAATCCACATATTTCTTAGGTCGAATCCGCATTCACATTTGTCGATATTTAAAGAACATAACGATGTCGTTCGACTTGGAGGAAGAAGAGTCCTTCGAGCACACGTTACTAGTGGTTCGAGAAGTTTCCGTTTTTAAAATCCCGCCGCGATCCACCAGCGGCGGTTACAAGTGTGGCGAGTGGCTTCAGTCGGACAAGATCTGGTCCGGCAGGCTCCGTGTGGTTTCATGTAAGGATCGGTGTGAGATCCGGTTAGAAGATCCAAATTCCGGCGATTTATTTGCCGCTTGTTTTGTTTACCCTGGGCAGAGGGAGAACGCGGTGGAGTCCGTTCTCGATTCGTCGAGGTATTTTGTGTTGAAGATCGAGGATGGAACGGGGAAGCACGCGTTTATAGGGCTAGGGTTTACGGAGAGAAATGAGGCGTTTGATTTTAATGTGGCGTTGTCGGATCATGATAAGTATGTCAAGAGAGAGAACGAAAAGGAGGATGGTGAAGCTAGCGATGCCAATCATATTGATATTCATCCTGCCGTGAACCATAGATTAAAGGTGCACGTCTTACCTCATTTTCCGTGCATACGCATTGGAATTATAATTCAGTGTTTGATCAGGTCATATGATCTCACATTTGGAATCGGTTTTGGAGCTTGTTTAGCTCACAATGTTGAACAACTGTGGATTTATTTCATCCAAAACTACCATAACACTTGATAAGCACAACTACAGCTATCAGAGTTTTACCTGGTGCTGATGATCATGATTTAATCTAGTTAACACCACCAAGTTGGACATGCAAAATTGACATAAAGATTCTGATTAGCAAGAACTATAAGAAAATTTACGCAAGATATGCACCTAAAAAGAATGTTGAAACACTGTGATGAAGGAGTCAATCTTAGAAATGGAGTGGATTTGTGTTCATGCATTGATTAACTTAAACTAACTCTGTGCAACATGTGTTTCAGGAAGGTGAAACCATTCGGATAAGTGTAAAAAACAAGCCTGCTGGTGGATCTGGGATGCTTTCTTCTGCTGGGTTGTCAGGAGGTCCTGCTGGAACTGGAAACATTAAGCCTCTAAGCATTGCTCCTCCACCAAGTTCCTCTTCAAGAATCAGATCTCCTCTCCCACCCCCACCCAATGATCCTGCTGGTGTTCGGATAACTTCTACAAAAGTTAGCATCGCTATTGAAGGAACCAAGGAAACAGCCAGGATTTCTACGAATGCTTTCACCGATTTCTCTCAGCTTGAGGTATCTTTATCATTTGATGTCTTTTACCATACTTCAATCATGATTCCAGTTTCCATTCCTACTCTTTAGTTGTTATAAAGGTTTATGCTTTGCAATCACCTACATTACCTTATTCCTAGGTTTAGAATAGTCTATCGTCATGAAATTGCCACTTTAGCTTATTTAATAAGATTATTTTATTGTTGCCTTCAAATCTCTATCAAATATCCAACTAAATACATAGGATATTAGGGTTAAATGCAGGAAATAGCAATGTACTTTCATTAATTTGTTTAATATAAGTCTATAACATCCCATTTTCTACTTATTATATTACAACATTGTACTTTGAATAATTTACCCAATTACAGCAATATCATCCTCATCAACACACAAAGCATCTTTCAAAGTATAATGTCATAATAAGAAACAAATTGGAAATACAAGGCTATAGGTGGGACTTGGGGTAGATTTTTTTTTCAAAGTAGAGTGCCAAAATATATAAAAATAAATAATAAAAATACAGTGTATAATAGAATGAAATGCAAGTTAGATGCTATAATACACGAATAAATGAAAGTAGGTTGCTATTTCTTTCAATAGCCCGTAGGATAAAATCCTTATTTTTTCTTTTCTGAAGAACAATCTCATTGTTTTCTTGCATTTAGCTAGCAAGTAGTTTACTCATAAGTCATAAATATAAATGCATAAGAATACTAATTCGACAAAATTACATTGTTGACCACTTGACCATAACAAACAGAATATGCCATGCATATAATAACCATCTCTTACAACCGCCATTATTATTGTAATTCAGCATTTATGAGTCTTTAAATCACCTATTAGAAGTTTCCATATCTGACAATTCATACCACATCTATCAATGAGCGAGAAATATTATGAACTCCTTATAAGCCTTTTGTCGTTGCTTATTAATAACCTACCTAGACCTTGGTTTTAAGTTGATTGAGATGTTATTTGTTTGAGTCTCATCTTTAGTTGTCATGAAGATACATACAAACTGCTTTCTCACCATATCTGAGTAGTTATGTATATAGTGCATGATATTAATGGTTTTTAAAGGTTCTGTTATGATATACTTATGATCGTTGCAGAAGAATCTTCCTGGATCAACTAAAAGTCAAACAGGTGCAGCTGGATGGGCAGCATTTTGATTCTTTCAACTGTATACAGTATACTTGTGGAGTGTTTGAAGAAAGCAACCAAATGAATAGGAGGGAGAAAACAGTCAACAGTACACTCCATTTTTGCTACCAATATATGTTGGTATGTTTCTTTCAAATTGCTTCGCCTTTTGAATGTATAATGGAGAAACAAACTAGTTTCATATTGTTATTATTCAATCAATCACACCCTTGCGGTTTTTTGTTGGGTTAAAGTAACTGAATAGCAACTTACTTTTTACTTGGTCCATTCAAATCACCAATCTTTTTTCCTAAAGTCACTGTGATTGTGATGTTAAAAAATTAAAAAAAATCACTCACTCCATGAAGCTCATCTTGTCACTTTTTCGACTGTTTTAACTGGTAACCAAGGCGACGTAGTATTTACATGGCTGGCCCATCTCCGTCACCGATTTTTGTTTTCTATAAATAATAAGATTACGTTACTAAAATGTTCTACTCACGTTTGAGTAACATGGTCACCCTTAAGGGAAACTTGTTAAATCTGTGGCCATAGTTGTCAAACTTGAACTAGTCACCGGTTGACTCGTATGAGTACGAGTCTTTTCAAACCATAAAAGAATCGACTCAGTAGTTTGACTAGGTTCAAAATTGTGAGTCATTGCTTGACTCGTTCGGAGTCGAGTCAACTCGTGACTCAAACAAACCATATGTCATGTAGGTAATTGGGTTATCTAACAAGTAATCCGGTTATCCAGTGGGTAATAATGACGATTCTTCATTTATTGTGAATGTACAACTCATTTTGGATCAATAATTTTCAAAAAAAATTAACTAAAATTTAGGCAACTTAGTCAAAATCCATATTTTAAGGGATTTATTAACAAAATTAAATGATTTAACTAGTTAATTTACTATTATGTCTTTAAAATGATTGGTCCACAATAAATTATACATTTATACAATGGGAACTGATTTGTACACAACAAATTTTTTCCATACACAACAATTTGTGTATTAAAGTATTGTATTGTACAACTCCATAAAACATAAAATGTTGTGTATGGATAAAAATTGTTGTGTACGAATCCCTTTCCAAAATACTTAGTGATTTACGTTTGATCCTCTCTCTCTCTCTCTCTCTCTATATATATATATATATATATATATATATATATATATATATATATATATATATATATATCATGAATCTTATAAGTCAAGTCAGCAGTATAAAATTTATATTTTTGAGTCATGGCTTTTTGCGAGTTCCTTTGGGTCAGTAATCACAATCTCTTTAATGTGTGACTTAATTGGTGGTTTCGGGTGTGGCAAGTAGGGTAAAACATGCTTTTGATAAGTTTGTTATAAGAAAACGCTATAAGGTCATCCGTTATACATACCACTAACCATAAGGTCGTCTGGTATACCAAGGACGAAGGGGTTCGTGGTCTACATGGCCACGAGTATTATCCGTGCACACTAGCCCGGACCTTCGTGGGTGTGGTGATTTGTGGTGGGGAGGACGGAGGACCACGACCAATCACATTCTTCTTCTCTCTCAGGCGTCTCTCTTCTTCGCCCCTTTTAATTTTCGTTCGTGATCATCGTATACATACCACCACTGATTCGTGGTTCGTGATGGTGATTGTGGTTCGTGGTTCGTCAAATGTATAACAGATGGTCTAATAGTGGTGAGTGTCACATTATCACCACACTCTCTACTACTAGCCATGAGATACCTACCACTAAACACTCAAGTCCACCTTATTTTTTTCATTAAATTTTAAATAAAAAATACTTTAAAAACATATAAATTTTTTTAAATACTAGTTTTTCATTAAATTAAACTACCAAATTACATTAATTAAAATAAAATAAAAATAAAAATAAAAAACCTAAAAATACCAAAAATAACTAAAATAAACTACCCCTGTTTCTACGCCGGGCTCGAACCGATTCTCTCATCGCGAGAAAAAACTTCAAATCTTCGCCTTCGAGGTCATCCACTTTCATTTTCAAAATTTTAATATCGGTTTTTGTTTGAAGCGTCGTTTGTGCCTCTTGAAACCATGTTCTCTTGAACTTGTACATATCGATCAAATTTCTCACCAAATTGATCCATAACACTCGATCCCGAAGCCGTCGAAGCCGTTTTTTTTTGCTTTATTTCTTCCAACGGGCCGACAAAGAGGTTGATCGTTCTCAAGATCGAACGGGATCATCGTTGATGTCGATGTGCGTTCGCCCGTCCAATTGTTGGGAAGTTGCATCGAAGTTTCTTGAACGCTTTGAACCGGTAGATTGTGAAGTTCCTTCCGTTTGCTCTTTCCATTTTGGAGCATCTTTCAATTTTAGCCACGATTTCACGTACGGAAAAAATTTGCGGGTTGGAGTTATTTTTTCAATTTGATGCAAGGCCGCCTTGAACACATCAAAATCATTTGATCCGCTTTTGCGTATGTTTAGGAGGTTGTTGTAAATTCCTCAAAGTTTGGTGCATTTTAGTCGAATATCGCGCCACTTCGAGCTAATTTGATCGGGATTTCGACTTTCACTCCCCGTTAGCCCATAAAATACGGTTCAAACTTTCTCCCAAAAATAAATGAAGGTTTGACTATCTCACCAAAATCAACCAAGAGAAGTTTAATCTAGCATGACTAAACTCAAGAAACTAAAATAAAAGTTAGAAGTACCAAACATATATCAAGATTCAAGGATGAAAGGAGTTTTTCAAGGTTTTTGGGTCTTCAAAAGCTCTCAAATCTTCAGAGAAAATGCTCCAAACTTGGATCCAAAATATAGTGGAATGTGCTCACCAAACTACCTTCAAATATCACATAATGCGAATTTTCGGAAATGCCCTTCAGCAGAGCTTGCGCGGGCTGCGTATGGCTGTGCGGGTGGCATGCTGAGTGGGCTTCTTGTGTCTTGGGCTTTCATTGCTTTAGCCCACTGGCCCATTTGCTTCCCATCATCTTGTAGCCCATAGTTCTCCAAGTTTTCTTCAATTCTGGCTCACTTTACCCTCTCTAAATCACTCGTTAGCTCGTGCACTCACTCGGTCAATTAATTACGCATGCTCAAATATTCCTTCATCTTCTTTTTAAATACAAGTCAATCTTCTTCAAGTTTCCATTTACCAACAAACCCACAATTTGCATCAACTCCACGAGTTGCCAAACCCATAATTCATTGTCCTCCATGTCCATTTGCTTCCCACAAATCATGAACATCTTAACTCCGTATTAGTCTTCTAAAATCTGCAATTATGCTCAAAGACTAGAAAATACCCGATATAGTCATAAAATAACAAAAATGAAAATATGCATGATGATTAACTAAATTTGGAATAAAATATGCTAAAATAAAATATAAAAAAAACTATCAACTATATAAATAATATGTACATATTAATGTACTTAGTATATACTTCAAAGAAATTTTGACAAAGAAAATTTGTTCTAAAAAGGAAAGACTGTTATACGTCATGAGTAACCCATAAGACATTGGCTACCTTTCCTCATCTCGTCGAAATATGAAGAGCATTTTCAGGTAATACATTTCCGACTTCACAAAAATGCATCAATTTACAAATTTTGAGGGCAATATCATGAAGCATAACAAATAAATAGACATATTTCCTACATTATGTAAAAATGAAAAAAGCAACATAGCATTGGTGTCCATTGTAGGATGATCATGTTCTAATTGCTTTTCTCGAATACCGATGCATTTTCCTCCTAATCTAAGACTACCCGGTATGGGCCACAAAAACGCCGTTATCGGCTGAGGTGACACACAAAAACGGCGTTATAACGCCGGGAACACCCTCCCTACCTCCCGTTATGGTATCTCATGTTATAACGCCAATGAATTGCAACGCCATTTCCAACCAATCAATGACTTTTTCTTTTTCTGCTTTTCTTCACCTCAACGGGGTTGAGTAAATGGAACACCACCCCCAACAAAAGTGATGGAGATTAAGAAAACTTTTGGTGCTTACGTGGCCTCACCACCCTCTTGCTCATACCCATCAGCCTACCAATAAGGTAAATTAACTTACACAAACAAAAGTAGACTTATCGTCATGAATGGATGTCATTTTCTGTAAAACCCGATGGTTATTGTCTATATTTTTGTGAGAAATATTGTTGTGATCTCAATGGATCTTTACTCTCTTTTTCTCTTTATATATAATATATATTTGAACGGTGACACGATATATTAAAAATAAAACAAAATTAACATGACACTAGAACAAAGAATTACAAGAAACAGAGAAGAAAAGAAAAACATCATGTGGTATATAAAATAACTAATACCTTAAAAAGTTCTTTTCAACCAGACCCTAAAATTTTGGTCGTCAATCCCTTACCCCAATATGATATTCGAACCTAGAAACGGTAGATTTTTAGTCCAAGTATGTTAAAAATGGTGACATAATTACACGAATAGGTCTAATTTCAAGAATTGGGTTGTTAGTATCTTAACATAATTATGAATTAATTAAATCTTAATCATAATTTAATCTATAAAATCTATAAAATCTATAAAATAATAATAAATCACTACCGAAACCAACGTGGTGTGTTTGTCCATTTGCGATTTAGCTTCTTCTGCCTGTCTGAACCCTAACTATGCCGGCCATGGCTGCCCTCTATCACTATTATTTATATATTCATGCATATATATCTGTATTATATGTTAAACACACTCTATTTTGGCCTGCAGACCCTTTAAACCTCACTGCAAACCCTTTCATTTGCTCTCTCTCTCTCTCTCTCTCTCTCTCTCTAGAATTCTTAAACGTACAGAAGCGGAATGAGAGCTGGATTTGACGTGGTTCAAGGTGCTCTTGAGTTGATCCAGCCCCATGAACAATGGGACTACAACAACACTCTTGGTGCTTATGTTACCTCAACTGCGACAACTTCAAGCTCATTGAATGGTTTTAGCGACTACAGTTCAAAGGCGCCTGCAAACATAGAGAGACCAAACGAGCTCTCTGAATGGGTTGAACATGTTACCAAGACGCTCGTTGAAGACTTGCCTCAAGAGTCCAACCTTGAAGATCAGAGCTTCCACACGGATGCCACTTTGCCAGCTGCTAATTACGGTGTTGTTTCACCTGACGTGTGTGAAACAAGACCTCGGAAGATAGCCAGGGGGAACTGGTCGGATGATGTTAGGTCATGTGGTGATCAGGGTAATAAAGGGTTGAATTTGATTGCGCTTTTGTTTGAGTGTGCAGTTGCTATTTCGGTTGATAATTTGGGTGAGGCTCATAGGATGGTTCTTGAGTTAACCCAAATGGCTTCTCCTTATTCACCTTCTTGTGGTGAGAGAGTTGTTGCTTATTTTGCAAAAGCCATGGCTAGTAGGGTTGTGAACTCATGGCTAGGGGTTTGCTCACCATTGACTAATCACAAGCTCATTCATGGTGCTTTTCAAGTCTTCAACAACATCTCTCCTTTTGTCAAGTTTGCTCATTTCACCTCTAACCAAGCCATTCTCGAGGCTTTTCAACGTCGAGAAAGGGTCCACATAGTGGACCTTGACATCATGCAGGGTTTGCAGTGGCCAGCACTGTTTCACATATTGGCCACACGAATGGAAGGGCCACCGCATGTGAGGATGACTGGCATGGGTACTTCCATGGAACTTCTTGTGGAAACAGGGAAACAACTCTTGAATTTCGCAAAACGTCTAGGAATGTCTTTCGAGTTCCATCCTGTGGTCAAGAAATTCGGAGATGTAGCTGATCTCTCCATGCTACAAATCCGAAGAGGTGATGCACTAGCTGTACATTGGCTTCAACATTCGCTTTATGACGCCACAGGGACTGACTGGAAAACCATGAGACTCCTTCAAGAACTCAAACCTCGAATCATCACCCTTGTCGAACAAGACATATCCCACGGAGGCTCATTCTTGGATCGTTTTGTTGGTTCCCTCCATTACTATTCTGCCATATTCGACGCTCTTGGAGCGTTCCTCCCAAGCGACGACAACAGTCGCCACCGTGTTGAGCACTCGTTGATCCATAGAGAGATCAACAACGTGCTTGCGGTGGGCGGACCAGGGAGGAGCGGTGAGGATAAATTCAGGGTGTGGAGAAGTGAACTTGGGAGAAATGGGTTTTTACAGGTACCAATGAGCGGGAACTCACTGGCACAGGGTCAATTGATTCTTAACATGTTTCCACCAACACATGGATATACTTTGGGTCAAGTGGATGGGACGCTTCGGTTAGGGTGGAAAGAGACTGCTTTGTACACTGCTTCTGCCTGGACTTGTCATGTCTCAAGATAACAAGTCTAATCATGTTGAATATTAAATGTTTGATTTGCTACGTAGTTCTTTTATTAAATATTAAATTAATATTTGCAAGGGATCAAAAATTAGGAAGCAGTTGTGAAATTTACAAATTGAAATTTGAACAAAAGAATGAATATATAGCTTTTTACGAGTAAAAACCATAGTCTTTTTTACTTTGATGTGATTTTAATTAAGGATGAGGATTAGGTGGTTTTGCAGTTAGTTTATTCAGTTAGGGCTGTTTGGGTGTGAGGCAGTGAATTAAGTGTGTACAGTAAAATTAGCTGGTAACGTTTTGTTAAAAGTTATAAGAGATAACTTTTAAATTTAGAACGTTTTGTTTAAACTAAACGTTAAAAACATGTAATGTCAAATGGAACTTTTTGTTCAAATTGAACGTTTTGTCAAACGCTAAAAGCTATAAGCTCTCAAACGTTCCGTATCAAATACGCCCCAAGTCGTTTATAAACCGAACCACATAAGATGCATTTGGGTTTATTCGGTTGAGGTAGTCAATTAAATCGTTTATAAACAAAACACATAAGATGTAGTTTTGTACATTATTCGAGTGTGTTTATACGGTTCAGTATGGTCAATCATACAAAATTAAGTTTTTTTGTCAAAATTATTGTTTTGTTTTTAATGATTGGAATGAAGAATATTCAAGTTTGAGAGTTGATTTTTTCCATAACATTGATTCATCCATATAAAATATAACATCTTTGCAGTTATCGTACAAATGAATGAAATATATTGTTTATGTAGATGAATCAATTTATTAAGTGGAAAAATCATCTCTCTTCAAGTTTTGGAGGAACGAGACACCACAGAAAAGAGGAGGCTTGCATAAAAACATAATTAACTAATTATATCTCATTAATTTATAACATATATCTAAAAAAGGATAAAACTTATTGTGGTTTTAGACAATACTACAAATAAAATGATATTTCATGATATAAAAAAGGTGTCAAAGAAAACCCAAAAAACTGTCACTAAAAACCCCTTGACAATCAACGGCAAAAAATGTCACCAAAAGTGCTACGGAGAAACGGAGATGGTTCATAATTTTCGTGAAAATATGGAAATGACTTTTCTTATATTTACAAGCACACAACATTAACCATTACTGGTTTTCTCTGCTTATAACCCTCATGATTAGAACTTGTGACCTAATGATTATTTACTATATATATATATATATATATATATATATATATTATATATATATATATATATATATAGGATCGTTCAATTCAAAAACATTTCTAATTTCGAGAACAAATTTAGACTACACAATGTTTTTAACTTAAAATCATCAAATAATATTAATATAAATAAAAAAATAAGTAAAAAATAAAATAAAAAACTCACTAACCAACACCACTCACCACCTAAACAACACCATCCACCACCCCCACCCACCACCATCAGGTTGCTCCTTATATGATTGTTGATGCCTGGCGCCTGCATCAGGTAAGTTCGGACTCCGATAAACTTGCCTCCGTTAGGGCCGAGCGGGATGATTTGAAAGTAAAGCTGCTGGAGCTGGAGAAGGAAAAACAGTCGTTCGAGGAGAGTTATAATCTTCTAGTTGGGGAGAAGGCGTCCTTGGAGGAGCAGGTGGTTACTTTGGATGGATCAGAGGAGCTTTTCTCTCAGCGAATTGAAGCTTTGGTGGGTGAGAAGAATGTTTTGGAGGACCAAGTGGAGGATGGGCGTAGACAATTGGGGTTTGAGGAGATGAGGAGGAAGGTGTTAGAGGAGGATTTATCGGCTCTTGTAGAAAGGCATTATCCGTGTTGTGGACAAGGTGGGTGAAAGCGACATATTTTCTTTGGGCATGAGGCGTATGAAGGCAACTTGCATGGCCGTCGGGGTTGAAGGTGGTAAGCAGGTGGTTAAGGAGCAGATTGTCATCGGGAAGTTTGTTCCTGGTGAGCTAAGCACCCTTCTAGAACACACCTAGGCAATGCACGCTGAAGTGAAGTCTTTCTTAGAGACGGATTTTGCCTCCTATCTCCATCTTGGCGAGCTCGACATGGAGGGCCTCCGCCAGCTGTGCAGTGACCCAGACGCTGAAGGAAAACATCTTGAGGGTACCACCTCTGAGACGGGGCCTTCCTCCCCTCCTCCTGGTATGTGATCTTTACCTTGCTTCAGGTTGTTTGGAGCAATATTTGAACTTGTTTGGTGCTTGTGAGACAATATCCTGGGATAATTTTTAAGTTTGTGTTGGGCCCTGCGTGGCTTTTCTGAGACCGGGAGTTTGTCCGGAAGACAATTTATTTTCTTTATCTTTGGATGCTATGATTGTTCTTGGTTTATCGTGTCTTTTCTTGTCGTCCCAGGTGGTTCGTGTTGGCCATCCTAGGTTTGGATTCATCCCAAAGGTTAGTGTTGGCCTTTAGGATGGCTATGTTTTTTGGTTTTGCACCGGAAGGATCTCGGGTGTGATTCCCATTTGTTCGACAATTTTTTGGCACCCAAAGCATGTGTTTTGGCTTTAACCCGGGAGCTCGCTTTGACGAGTTCGGCGCTTGCCTCTCTTTAAAGTTGTGGGTCAATCTTTGTATGATCAAGGCTTTGGTTGGTCTTTAGGTATGAACTCTGGTTGGTTCGTTTTGTTAGGGTGTTCTTTTTAGCTAAAGTTTTTTTATTACCCTTTTGGGACTTTCCTCTAAGTCCCGGGCCAAAGAGAGTTGCACTCTGACCCTAGTCATCTAAGCTAGACTGAGATCGTCACCTCGAGGTCTGGGGGCTCAGGTATTGTGTATTTCGAGGGAAAGGTTATGATCCTTTAAGGCCTATACTTGTCATAGTCATTAGATGTGGCTCTTTTGGCTTTACTGACATGTTTAGAGGGAAAGGTTATGAGCCTTTGAAGCCTATGGTTGCATTCTTACAATGGTTTCGCTCAAATGACATGGATGATCAGTCCTTGTTGTCATTCGGTAAATGTATGCAACCTCTTATGAGTGATGTCAAAATCGAGTAAAAACGTTTTAGTAGTTTTTTTTAAGGAAAAAAAGAGAAAGGAACAACTTTCACTACTTCATTAATGGTGTTTTTCTCTTTGGAAACATCTACATTTCTTGAGCAAGGAGAGAAGGATGGTTGTAACGTAATGCAGATCTTGGCCCTTGGGTTATCATCCTAGGGTGTGATTATCCACGTGGAGTTTGATCACATTGCCCTTGCCTCAGATCTGCTTTGTTTAGGCTTATTCCCTTGCTCTAGGGACGGTGGTGCGAGTCACGCGCACACCAGATTTTGGGGGAAGCCCCTCCATCCTGAACTCTTGGGGCACAAACTCCTCCTTGATTTGTGCTTACAATCCTTCTTGCATGTCCCTTGGTGGCATCCTTGCTACTGGGCTTGCTTATGGTCGGGTGTTGCTTTGTCTTGTAGGTGGTTATGTCAGAGTTCGGTGTTCGCCACAACCTGATTGTTACCCTAAATGGTGATGTTGCTTCCGTGCCCCTCGCCTGGTTGTGGGGTGTATTTCTGTCGGGAGACGGCCCATGGCGTCTAAGTTCTTGTAACTATGATATTGCTCAAGCGTGTTTTCCTGGGGTATTGTCGTGTTTCTGCGCATGCGAGAGCTTGTCATCTCTGGGTGAGTTGTCCTTCTTGGTATGGTCCTCGGATCTTCTCGTGCCCTGGTACCTTCTTCCTGTTTCTTCTGTTTTTGCTTTATCGTGATTTTTAGGTCTCCCTGCGCATTGCTGCTTGCGGATTTTCCTGGTAAGAGTTCATGCAGAAGGCAATCTGGGCGTAGCTTGAACCGATTGGAGGTTCCCATGGTCTCGGCGATTTGTTCTGAGTTGATTTCTTTTATAATTTGGTTGATGGGTAGCATTATGTTGGCGTTCGTTGCTTTCTTTTTGGGAGTTCCTACAACCGCAGGGTCCATCCGCATGCGTGTCCACCTTTTTTCAGTATTCTGGAGCTTTCGTACTTTCTGTTCTTCAGTTTTGCAGGAGAGGGGAGCTTCCGTGTTATTGTGGGGTGCCATTTTCTCACCCGGGATGGGCTGACTGTTCCACTTCCCCCGTCGCACGCCATGGTTTCTTGCCACGGGGTGGTGTGCGAGGAAGTTTGAGGAGGCCAAACCTTGGTGGGTGTTCATGTTGACTACCTTTGTGGCTCTTGGTTTGGCTTTGTTGCTACTACTACACCCTTTCCCCCAAATTTTCTCTGGTTAGGACGTTCTCTCCCCGCCTTCTTGATTTTGCCTGGTGGTCACTGGGGTTAAATGCTTCTTCTCGCGACGATTCGTCCTTCGTTTTTTGGAACACGTGTCACTTCTAATGTGGCGATAGCTTCGCGGCGTTGTGTTTCGGGGTAGAAGGCGACGATCGTGGTTGATCATGTGTGTGTGCTAGATTTCATTGTGTCATGGATCGTAGATGGTATGGCCTGGAATTGGAAGAACGTTGTCGCCCGAGGAGCATGTCCGTGTCTGCCCGGTGACTTACCACCGAGAATTCTATTACCCTTGTAACGTCCCAAAAATAATGACATAAAATTTTCGTTTTTAGATTAATAAATCATTAATACATATCAATTCCATAAAACCAAGGTAATTTATATTTAGCAAAACATCATCAAATCAGAGTAAATCACAAAGTGTGGAAACATGTGGTGTGTGCTCTGCAATCATCCCGAGCTCTTCTATTTGAAAACCAAAGTACCTAAAACATAAACTGAAAATTATAAGCACAAAGCTTAGTGAGTTCCCCAAGATACCCCATACCATACATAACTAAGCACATAATGGGCCCCGCCCACACTTGCATAACAGGCCCCAGCCACACTCAGATATCGGTCCCCGCCCACTGAGATACGGGCCCCGCCCACACTCACATAATGGGCACCGCCCAACATACAAACACATACACATACCAACACATGCGATTATTGGGTTTTGTATACTACAACATCCTATGGTGCACATACAACCCTAAATGCTTTGGATCTATGTTTTCTCT